TCTCTCTCTCTCTCTCTCTCTCTCTCTCTCTCTCTATTTAATATGGAATATTTAATATAAAAAATTACATAAAGTTATGATATTCTTTGATATATAAGATTTCCTAATTTGACTTAGGCACCAAAATATCTCGAAAATAATAAATTTATTATAAGTTTGACCTTTAATGGCCAGAACGTGTTTTAAAATAAGAACATTAGCGCTATTTGCGTTTGTCGGAAGAGCGAAAAATTACCAGAATCAAAATTTCCTTATTTTTTTCAATAGAATATGAATCTGCAGTAAAACATAGGCGTTTTTATCAAAAAAATCCACGTGGGCCTTTGGTTCAGTTGGACTGAAAGTGAGTCCCAGACCCAAAATTTATTAAGTACTTAATGGTTTTCTTCAAATTTTCCAACTTTTATTTAACATTTTTTTTTTAAATGTTTTTGAGATATTTTGGTGTTTAAGTTAGAATACTCTGTATATTCGTATTTTTCTTTGAACCTATATATTTTGAAGCTCTTTAATTCTATCGACTTTTACATATTACAGACTTAATCAATTCTCCATCGATTGAAAAAAAAAGATTAATTAAAATATGTCCATTTTTACGGGAGTTACGATAACAAATATGGATGGTCCCAAATGTGTATATAAAAGAAAAAAAAAGTGTGTATAGCTGGGGTTAAAACAATAAAAATAGATTTAAAACAATTGAAAATACTTAAGAAATAGCCACTATAATTTTTATGTTTAAAAGTTTGTTAATATTCGCGCAATTATTTAAACGTTTTTGAACTTTGTAAAGAATTACAGTTAATATTCTCATAAATTGCGCAAAGAATAAGCTGTAATATTTCTCACAGTAAACGATAATGCTCAAGAACGAGTGATAATATGTGGAAACTTCCACCTTGCAGTGTATATGCTTTCAATAATAACACTTTCCACGTCGTGATTAAAGTATAGTATAAAGCCACTTCGTGATTTTCTCATATTCGACGGGCAAATCCGGAAAAACGCGCGATCACGAACAAGAGCGGAGATCGCGAGTCTCTTATTTGATATTATCTACTGTATTATGTATCATGGTTAAATACTATTATATGTATATTGTTTGGATAATTTCAATATATGTATAGCGTGGGACTGTTGCGAGCTCGGTTGCGAGTACTCTCTTAGTAGGCGTTGTTGCAGTGAAAGAGATTCTCAAATGTTTCAATAATCTTTATAAAGGCAATAAAATTTATGGATTAAAAAAGATTTAATATGACACATTTAATATGTACTGTATTTAATTCGATGTATTCCAGAATCCTTAATTAATATATTGATAGATTTTTAATAAATTTTAGGCTTATATATATTATATTATTATTATTATATTTATACGTTTTTGTGTTCGAAATACACACACACACACACACACACACACACACACACACACACACACACACACACACACACACACA